AAGCGTCACATGAACTGCGTTGTTGTAACAATACGATATATTCAGCTTTTTTATAAGGGCTCTTTATCAGTTTATGAGCTCGAAAACAAAATCACAAAAAACAACGCGAGTTAAATGAATCACAATTTATCCTTCAAAATCTATATTATATCCTATCTTTCTTTAGCAAACCAAGAAACAAAAATAAAACGTCAAAAGCGGTTTCATGTGCTATTGGGGTGTACTATTTGAAACGAAATTTTTCTTTTTTGTTTAACTTAGAAAAGTGCGCATGGTGTAGAGTTAAACATATAGAAAACTCGATATGGAACATAACAACCTTACTGTTTGCACTAGCCATACATTGTCACACCCCTTTGGATTATTGAACTTTGTCATAGACGATGTTACTGTTTTTGCATTTATTGTGTTCTTTGGGCACATGTAGAGGTTCAAGTATACCTAAAAACCGTGACATCTTTCCTGTTGTAACTTATGGAATGACCAATTATCAAGGTTGGTAAGTGAACATTATGATAATTTACCCTAAGGTATAAGTATCTTGTGTTTTCTTTCTCTCTCAATATTATCTAGAATTTGGCTAGAGCTTCTTCTGATATAAAACTGTCCATTTACGGGTAGTTCTGCCCAATGCCCCGTGCATTTGTTGCCTATACAGAACTGTATATATATTTGTATTCAGAGATATATAAATATTGATCTTCCGCAATGTTTTAAATTGTATATAGTGCATTTCATAAACATAGACGAGTCAAACTTAGCTTAACTCTGCGATACATTTTCTGCCATTCCTCTGTTACGAATCTGCTCGTTTGATAATTTCCCCTAAAAATTCTTCCCGAGGAACTTAAGTGACACAATTCCTTTCTTAAATAGAACTAGTTTATTCTTCCTCAATACAACTTTGTAATACACAGAATTTCGACAGTCACTTTAACTTAAACACACGCTATAATTCACAATGGTTTACACACTTTACTTACGGCTTGACTCGATTATCTGTCTCTATATCTCACTGTAAGCAATTATTCTCCTTCGTCACTTCTTGTCGGTTATATATATACAAAACAGAAGGCGTCAGGCAAACACCAGAGCATTCACGAACGTTCTAGATACTCATTACGTGTTACCAGCGTCACGTGAATTTCGCTGTCGTACCACTGACCCTTCCTTAGTATTGTTCGT